AAGAAGAAGAAGAAGAAGAAGAAGAAGAAGAAGAAGAAGAAGAAGAAGAAGAAGAAGAAGAAGAAGAAGAAGAAGAAGAAGAAGAAAGATGAGGAAAAGAAAGAAAATGGACAGAGCTGGGAGAGGGGGAAAGATGATGATGAGGAGACGAAAGGAGAACAGAGAGGGAGGATGGAGGGGATATTTGGGAGGACTGAAGGGAATCATGCTCATGTTCCAGGAGGGAAAGAGAAATGAAAGAAACAGATAAGGAGAAAGTCTGAGAAAGCTTGATGTGTTTATATAAAGTTATCAGCATGCCAATCATTAAACTTTGGAGTGGCACTTCCTGAGCCCCAAGAACTGAATGGCAATAATGCAACATTTGAAATGGAAACACTTCTTAAAAGTTCCAGAGCTGAGCAATGACATGGGCCTTTATATTAAAAGGCATTCATGTAACAAACACAAGAATTCAAAAAAATAGTAAGATAAATCTTTTTGAAATAAGAGAAACCAAGGATAAAGATGGAAACTTTGAAAGACAGAAAAAAGGATGCTTTTCCACAGAAAAGGAATGCAATCTTGAGTATCTAATCTGCTTCAAGCACATAAAAATGTGGACTTACCCTGTATGAGCCAGAAAATAAGCACATAAAAATGATGAATAAAATATTAAGAAGAGAAAGTAAAAAGGTAAAACTCAGTGTCTGGCATGATAAGGATTTGCAAAACAAATATACACAATGTGCAACAAGCAGTTGGCTAGTGAACACACTTAAGTCACAAGCTGGCTAAATGTTCAGTCTGAAAACCAAGACGGCCACTGTTTGGGTGACTACGACAGCACGGATTTAACATTTCCACTTTGATGTTAGCCAGGGTCAAGACCCGTCTCTGAAATCACCCCACCCCCTGAAAGAATGAATACTGCTTCTGCCAGGTGTCTGCTCATGACCCACAGCAGTACTGGGACATCAGATTATGGAGCTGCCAGCCATCTATGCAGCTGAATCAGCCATATGCCCAAAATTACTGTGAGACAAGCATTGCCAGTTGCCAAGTTTGAACTAGTTGCAGATGGGGAGATTAGACAATTCCCATTGAGGATCAAGGGGAGAGAGACAACAGGAAAGAGGAAATAAAGGAATAGCTTTTGGTAGGCTTACATTGATTGAGTGGGCAGTCATCCTCTTTCCTACTGCTGTCAAAGGGCCAAACTGTGAGCCAACTCAGAGTGTTGCTCTGGCTCATAGAGGATAAGTCCACTAAAATCTCCAGGAGTCCTGATTATCTTTCCAACAGTGGCCTTAGTGAATATTGTTTCCTCTGCTCCTTCCCATGAAATATAACCCCCTGGAGAATCTTCTGGTTTCATGAAATACATCCATTCTAGCATGCCTCTTCCTCTGACTCCTTTCATTCCTTCCTCCAGTCTTCGCCTTGGCAACACAGACAAAGCCACTTTGTTCACCATGTGCTGGGTTTTGGCTCCTGAGAGTCCCAATAGCAGAAACTTACTCTGTTCCCTGCAATCTTGTCTGGGTTTGGTTTTATTTGTACTAAGGGAGTGGCCTCAATGTTAATAAAC